GGAGGAAATGCAGATAGCGTGGGGACGCAATGACGTTAATTTAATTATTATGTGCTATAATATGTAAAACGGGATCATGAAACGAACATTCAAAAAGCAACTCATGCAAGCGGTTAATTATATTATTGTCCTAATTAGATTAAGGCAAATAATTTGAATATCGATGTCCATAAAACGTGTAAACGTAGTCACTGACACCGGTACTGTGGTTTAATTAGGACTGTGCATTAATGCATTTCACAATTCTATACATAAGCTTTCAGATACTGTCTGATATTAGGGTTATGCCAATAGACAATGGCATTTTTACATCGCTTGAAAGTCAGACATCCGATGTTGAGTCGACATTAGGGCTGCTCGATATTGGAAAAATCTGATATTGCGCTATTTTATTTTTCTGTATTAAACATGGTGATATGAATACAGTTTCAGATTTCAATTGCACTATTTGACGATTTTCTGGGGAGTCTAACAGTATGTGGTAACAGAAATTCACAATGCAACAATCACAATGCAAACAAATGCTTTTCTTACTATATACTACTTCTATCAAAACAAATAAGTGAAAATTAAGAGTTTTTTGGCTTGTTTTAAGGTAATTATCTGCCAGTGGGGTAAATTAAATAATCCTATTTTCCCTTTAAAGTGTAGATATTTGGTCTACAAACAAGACAAGTAATTTAAAACAATTCTGTGGCTTTTGGTCAGCTAGAATTTAGACTGGACATTGCATATCTTGAAGTGATTGCCGGACATATTGCATCCCCCCTGTGAACACGGTCCTTTGACCTGTGTGTCCTTTGAGTAAAATAAATAACTTTGGCATTGTGAAACATGTCTAAAGTGCTTATATTGTAGATGTGCATGAGGTCAAATGCTTTCGAACAGCTGCTAAAGACCACCTGCTCTCCACCCAATGATCTCAGTGCAGTCCAACTGAGTTTGGGATGGGGCATCATTTGATAGTTGAATGAGCCTTATTATTAGCCTTGTTAGCCTATATCTAGCAGTTGAAAATGGCTTGTTCATGTTCATCAGTAATTTGAATTAAACACAAATAAGACAAAACATAAGATTATTTGTTAATAATACATGCATATATATTTTTAGTTATATTCAACAGGGAATACTTGAAACAACAAAACAGAGGGAAGAAGCCGTCAGACTTAGTACAATAAAAATAACTTATGTGTCAAACGGAAGCATTTAAGGCAAAACTTATATTGGTTTATTGCGAGAGAAAATAATATTTATGATTAAAATGTTTTCTATGTTCTAAAATATTTGTTTAATGAAGATGATCAAGACAAAAAAGTATATACTTGTTAAAACATTGTTTAAAGCTTTATTGGTCAACATATCCCTGATATGAATTCAATTAAATTCTATATCAATTGATTTACATTTTTATTTAGTAATTTAGCAGACGCTTTTGTCCAGAGCAACTTACAATTGAGGAGGCATTCAGCAATTCAACAAGGAAATGCAATACACACAATATACTTATTACAATGTGCTTATTACATACTTACTATACAAAGGAACTGTTAGGGCTCAGAGAATTAGGGGCTAGAGTAAGGGGGGGGAGGAAGAAGAATGTTTCTACAGGTGGTTTGTCAAGCCCACTCGCCTGTGTGAGGCACACTCAGTTTGGGATTGTTTTGGGATAAGGTTTTGTTCACAGGGGTTCAGGTGATCTGAGAAGAGATGAGTTTTTAATTTTTGTTGTTGCTACAATTTATAAAAGATTAAAGTCAGACGCCGACACGGTGGTTAGCACTGTCACCTCACAGCAGGATGGTCGCTGGCCCCCACAGTCCAAAGGCATGCCATACAGGTGAATTTAATAAACTAAAGTAGCCTTAGTGTATGTGTGTGAATTAGTGTGTATGGATGTTTCCCAGTACTGGGTTGCAGCTGGAAGGGCATCCACGGTGTAAAAACATATGCTGGATAAGTTGGCGGTTCATTCCGTTGTGGCAACCCGTGATGAATAAAGGGACTAAGCCGAAGGAAAATAAATGAATGAATAAAAGTCAGCCAAGCAGCTATTAAACCTGTGTGACCACCTCAAACCCAATGCAAAATCTTGAACGTAAAATCTTTTGCCTTTAAATGAAGGTCCTGATAACATACCAACTGAAATGACTGTAAATGTGTAAATGTGACTGCACCTTTGGTTGATCAAAAAGCATCATTTTAGAAAGTTCTTATCTCTCAAATGCACTTGATTGACCTGTTGAAGGTCTAATGAAACACGTTTACAAAGTTTTGCAGTTTCCAAGTTTTTTTTATGACAGTGAAAGCAAAAGTACAGCCAGTATATGATACAGCTTTGTGAATTTGGATTTATTTTGGACCAACAAGATTTCATTGTGAAAGAAATTACCCAAAAGTGATTTCCGGACATGTTGCATCCACCCTGTGGACTTGGTCCTTTGACCTGTGTGACCGTTGAGTAAACAAATGACTTTGGCATTGTTAAACAAGACCAGTTTATGTATGAGGAACAGCTTTGTGTTGCCTAAAGCATGTGCACTGTAGATTTCCCGTCATTGTGTTTTTGAGTCTAATGGTTCCTTGTGACCTCATAGCAAGTGTCAACAATTTAGAATCTCAGTAGATTCATTTAACATCTGTGTGCTGTTTGTCAACCTTATCATAGATAGATATGAAGCACTTGGACAGCCTACTCATTCTACCTCATCTGTTCATCAAATTAGAAGATGTCATCTTTCATAACCCCTTATTACACTGTTGCAGATATCGTTTTACTTCAGTCATTTGCTATATTCAGTTTTCGGAGGTGCTGATTGCATTAATCATGCACACATTGACAAAACCCCTTTGAGAATCTCTTTAGAGCTGTTTTAAACACACACACACTGAATGTCACGACTCCATGGTTTTGGTGAGGACGTGTTTCCTGGTTTGAATCTGTTCAGCATATGTGTGAGTAACAGACTGCAGTGGTTTACTTTGTGTGTGTGTGTGTGTGTGTGGTTTTCCTCACCCAGATTGCATTGTGTGAATAATGCCCTTACTAACAACTGAAACATGAAACAAACATTCCCAGCTGCTGAGTGAGGACAGACAGAACAGTAGCAAGTTCATGGGAGAGAATACGATTTTAGACTACGATACTACTTTCATTAAAAAAAAACACATTTTAATAAAAGAAAAACTTTATTTTATCATGCTAATGTTACACAAAATGATTATTATGGCATTTGTCAGGTGTTTGATTTTCTTCAACGTTATAACCCTGTTGTATTAACAATGAGTATTCAGTAGCTATCTTACTGCTCGTATATATCACAGAAACGCACCAAGATAAAAAAAGACTCATTATTCCAATAGTATCTGGCTTCAGGAGCTTTAATTATGCAAGGTTGACACTTGAAAGGCTCATGTAAACAGTCCATAGACTGGCTGGTCATTAGCATGCTAGAAATTTGTAAGGAATAGATATTTTGCTGTACTGTTTGTACCATAGTGAATAATAGCATAATACTGACAACTAAGTTGGCAAAGCAGGACATCTTTACACTGAGACAAATAAATGTTAAATAATGTAATATATAAAAAAAAAAAAATTGTTGCTTGTTTATTTAACAGGGACAATAGACTTGACATTGTTATACAAAGATAACCAATGTTGTGTACATATCGCAAACAAATCAAGACATACGAGAAATTATAAATGCATGTCATTTGGCATATGCTGAAATGGCTTTAGTGTAATATAGTGACCCAAAAGAATTTCTCTTAGATGGCCGGCCAGCCATAGGAAGAGTCCTGATGGTTCCAAACATCTTCCACTTACAGATGATGGAAGCCACTGTGCTCATTGGAGCTTCCAGGGTTACAGATTTTTTTCTGTACAGAATTACAGAATTTACAGAAATACAGAAGGTTACAGAATTTTTTCTGTAACCTTCCCCAGCCTTGTACCTCAAGACAATCCTGTCTCAGAGGTCTACAGACAAGTCATTTGTCTTCATGCTTGGTTTGTGCTTTGACATGCACTGTCAACCCTGATACCTTATACAGACAGGTGTACGCCTTTTTAAATCATGTCCAGTAAACTGAATTTACCACAGGTGAACTGCAATTAGGCTGCTGAAAACATTTCACGAATGATCACTGAAAAGAGAATGTACCTGAGCTCAATTAAGAGCTTTACGACAAAGGCTGTGAATACTTAAGTACATGGGATTTTTCAGGTTTTTTGTTTTTAAAAAATTTGCAACAATTTCAAAAAATCTTTTTTTTTACATTGTCATTATGGGCTATTGTGGGTAGAATTTTGAGGAAATAAATGAATTTAATCCATTTTGGAATAAGGCTGTAACCTAAAAACATGTAGAAAAAGTGAAGTGCCATACTTTCCGAATGCACTGTATGTGCACATGATAGTGCTCATCTTTTGCAGAGTATAGCTGTTTGTGAATGTAAAAGATAGACTTTTACAAAAGATCTAAGAGCATAATAAATAAAATATTTTCCTCTAAATGAAAACTGTGAATGGACAAAATTAGTTGTCAGCAGTGTTTTCTCTCTATAAGTAGACAGATAACAAGCTATTGGATCATTGGGTTTATTGTTCGAATAAACCTTCTGAGACTCCTGAGGTAAAGGGAAATATGTGTGGTAAACCTTGGATGCAGTCTATTGAGTTACACCTTTAAAACTGAAAACAACCCTTTAACACCATGTCAGTGTTTAGTCTTTTTAAAAATATCAGAGTAATTGTCAATTATGTATATTGGACCATCCCACAAAAAAGTAGAATGCCCCAAATCGTTATATCAAACATTAACACTCTTGAAGTGTAGCTCAGCCAATCAGATTAGAAAAACTAAATGATATACATATAATACTTAATGCATACCCATTACCATGTTATAAATGCATGCTTAGTGTTTTTTTTTTTTTTGTAGCGGCCATTTGTAGAAGTCTTGGGTATGTTGGTTGACCTACTATATTTGTGTTTACAGATATCTGGGGCGAGCAGTCATTTCAGACAGACCCTGATTTGCCTCCAGGATGGAAGATGATGACAGACATGGCTGGTATTTATTACTGGCACATTCCAACGGGCACCACACAGTGGGAGCGGCCCGCCCCATGCCATCCAGTGCCAACTGGACCCAGCCATGCCAGCCGCAAACACTCACTGGGTTCCCTGTCGCCTTCACCCACCCCAGATCATGAGGTATGATCCATTTGAGGCCACATGATTAAGAAAATAATACGTTTTATCCACATTGACCAATCACTTTTTCTGTATCTAGTCGATGTCTCATGCCGATGTGTTTTTCGGAGCGTCGAGTCGTTCGGGCAGCACCACTTCTGACAGTTCGTCTGAGCCCGCTCCCATCCCGTCTTCTTCATGTCTGGACCCGACCCCCATCCTGTCCTCAAACTCATCCTCATCCTCTGACGCAAATGTTCCTTCCTGTGGATTCGTCAACAGCTGCTACTTTGTAAGTTTTTTTTCTTTTTTTCTTTTTATCAGTGTCCCATTTGACAGTATATGTGCAATACTTTATGGTCATAACCTGCCATACTTTGGGTGCAGAGCTTTCACAATGAGTGTGTAGAATTTCACAGTGATTTAGTTGTGTAGAAAAATTGATAAAACGCCACATTAGCATTAAGTTATCGTTTATAAAAGAAACAGAGTTCTTGCTGTTACATATGTGACTATGCATAAGTTGCCATGGATTAAATAGAGCTTGGTAAAAAAATATATATATATCTATCACACTTATTTACTTTATATCTGTAAATTTCAGTTATCTGAAAGAAAAAAAATAAACAGGCATATCAATAAATCTTAATGGCCTAGTTATTTTTGAATTTCAATTGCTTCTGGGCTTATTTATAAGTGGGTTTGGATCTCTTTTTGGTCCTTTGAGTCTTAGTCTACTTTACAGATATGCTGTCTGCTTTAGTGCGAGACGAGGTTAACAGCACCTCACATCCTTTTCTCTGTTTTCAACATGGGAAAGTGATACATACAGCGTTTATTACAACTGTCAAATAAATACTTTAAAAGAGACTTTTTAAACCTTAAATTCAAATTTTGCTTTTGTAAAAAAAATCTAATGTTACTAGGTTAGTTAGGAATTATTGGTTGAAACCATTTTTACTTTGTTGAGAAATAAGTCTATTAAGACGTAGTTTTCATGTGTAATTTATTGTAGTAGTTCCCAACAGGGGATACCAGCCCACAAGGAGACCTCATCAAGCTCTGTGGGGGGGTCGCATCATAACATTTTTTTTTAGCAGTGGACAATTAGGAGAATGATCATGCTGCCTTAGTTAATTTTATCTCCTGGCTGACCAAAACATTAACAAATTTGTAATTCGTCCTCCACAAAAAAAGTATCTGATTCGCCTTCTGCAGTTAATAGTAATGACCCAAGAACACTGGACCCAGGTGAGTAAGCTCCAAACATTTCTGGTCACAGTGCTAGCAATGCTTGAAACACGAAATGCATGAAATACCAAGATAGTTACCTAAACTATGGTTTTATTCTACTTTCTTGAAGCAAAGAGTCTCTGATCCAGCCACAGAGCATTATCTGCGCCAAAGTTCTTGCTAACGAATGCATGAGGCCGTCAAAATTTATAATACATTTGCAGGCGACTCATCCCCAATACGGCAAGATGTACCCATACAAATGACCTACTGATGGTTTGTTTTTATATTTTACATCAGGCGTGCGTGAACATATCTAGGTGTAGTAATAAACATACCGTTGGTTCGAAAACAACGTTTTTTTTTGTTATACCTACTCCAAACTTATATGAATGATAATATCATTCAATGTAGAGGGGGGCCTTACAATATTTTCCGGGGGGAAAGGGGGGAAAAACGGGTTAGGAACCACTGATTTATTGGTTTATCTAAAAAATAGATATTAAGGCATGGTTATCAAAATATAAATAATGTTGTTGTTAAAAATATTGAAATGTTGAAACACCATTCATAAGTTTCTTTTGCACTACTGGTGAAAAAAGTCTAAATATTTTTATAAATTTAAATAACTATTTATTATTTATTGATTTATATATATCGCCACCTTGGAATTATAAGGTTTTATCTGCGTTCTGAATAATTTTGAGATATTGAGCTTCAAAGTTTTTGCATTCCATATAGCAAACAGTATGTGTGTAACATTTGTTTTAAATAAAAACTCTTAAAATGTTAAAAACTTCTAAACATCCCATAATGTAAATAAGTTGTCATTTAATAAGAATATGTCAATAACTCAATTTTTACAAAAATATCAGATAGAACCTTATAATTCTAAGGTGACAATAGGTATATCTATTAGATATTATTAAGCAGAATTTTCAGCAGCCTTTACTCAAGTTTGCACTTGAATCTTTTTATGATTTCCAGATTTTGTGTTAAGAAAATAATTAAACACTTAAATAAATAAAGTCTTAATTACAGAGTTGCTGATTTTTCGTTTTTTGGAATCTGTTTTTTATTTATATCGTCAACATTTGAAGTCAATCAAAAAGTTTTACAGAATAGTCCTAAGACAAGAAAGGGTGTTCAATAGTTTTACATTCTACTTGATCCACTTCAAATGTTGCCTCTATATTGTACTTTCGAATATAAATATGTTGTGATGTATAGACAGAGACTGGTCATTCATTTGGATAAATCTATAACTATGTGCATGTTTGTGTGTGTAGCCTCGCTCCTCATCCCTACAGATAATGCCAGGGAAGGACAGACACTCAGAGGCTCGCCATCGGGAAGAGGACAAGGTAAAACTAACAGTTTACTCTAATAATGTTGTGGAAAACAGCTTGTGTTATCATACGACTCTTGGAACATAAAAGATTGCAACATCCATACTTCATCCAATCAAATCTTAACCAAACAAACAACATCCAGCAGCTCTACACATCCAGTACACACACACACACACACGCTTGTGGAGTGATCTAACAACCCTGTCTTGTCTCTTTCCACACTCCCACCCCTGACCCTTCAACCTCGTCCTTCCTTTTTTTCTGTTTGTTTGTTTGTGTGAATAATGGTGCAGAAACAGCCATGGAGTGATTTTGCAGTGGGAAAGATTGATAGTGAGATCTGGAAGGTTAGTATCTCAGGCAGGTTTTTTTATTGAACTGCTGAGCCAAATACACAGTAGAATGTTTCAGGAGACAGTGCTTACAAACATTAACTATATTAGTATATCCTTTTTGAGGCTCAAAATGCCTCTTTTGCTAAATAATTTGCAAATATTAAACAAAAAAATATATAAAATATTATTTTGCAACTTTTTTCTGCATTATTAAAAATTCTTAAACATACTGAAGCAAAAATAACCAAACATAATGTTCTACTGGTGTAGGTGTGCTCTGAGGTTCTGTACTCCGTCAAACCTTCCTTACGTTTTGACCTTTCTTCTGAGCATGGCTTTTGTCTTCTGTTGTCTATCTACAAAGCAAAAATCATTTATAGAACTAAATTAGTCTTTCTAGCACCTTCATAATTTTTTTGTTGATTTAAGCATAAACTGAAGTTTGTAAGTGTCATGCTTAACAAGAAATATATTGAGGTAAGAAAAAAACTACAGATGTATTCTCTCAAAATTAGTTTTAGGGTTCATATTTGTTCACACTTGGCAGGTTTGGTTGCTCTGTTAATGTGGTTCACTTACATAATTGTGAACGCTAAGCTCTAAACTTTGATGCGCACCAAACTAGTGGGCGTAGGCATAAGATGATGGATCTTGGTCCGCTTCCATACAAACTCTGTTGTGATTCAATTGAAATGTTGGCAATTGAAGTATTGTTTTGTATATCTGGTAAGTTCCTTTTAAAATACACAGTATAAAAACTATGGACTCTTTTCACATTTTTGAATATCTCAGGAACAGAAGTCATCATAGTTGGGTTAACATAGAAGGCGGTGAACGGGAGAGTACTCCTTGTATTCCTATTTGCTCAAGTAATAAAAAAAAACTTCATTATACTGTTTTCATGATTTTCGATAAAGGCAAAAAAAAAGTTTAAGACAAAAAAAAAAGTTTAAAAAAAAGTTTATAATGGCAGTCGGAAATTAACTGTGCCACTGATAGACACTGCATTACAAACATTTAGCATATTTCAGTTCAAGTTTATTTGTATATCACTTTTCACAATAATTATTGTTTCAAATCAGCTTTACAAAAGGTGTACACTATTGCATTACAATTAAAATAAAAAAGTTCAGGTTATTAGTTACAATAACTTTATTAGATAATAATTTTAATAGCTTATAACTTGAACTAATTACCTAGTAACCAATAGCTATTAACATTTATTTTCCTTTTTTTTGTAATTTGATGCAAAATCTATATAAATAGTATAGCTTTATAAATTTACATACATTTACGTACACAAAGATATCAAAAACATTCAAGGAATTAAGATGCTGATGACCCTTAAATGAACCATCACCATCTTGTGAAAAGGGTCCATTGCAGTGGTCACCAAACTTGTTCCTGGAGGGCCGGTGTCCTGCAGATTTTAGCTCCAACCCTAATCAAACACACCTAAAGAAGCTAATCAAGGTCTTACTAGGTATACTTGAAACATCCAGGCAGGTGTGTTGAGGCAAGTTGGAGCTAAACCCTGCAGGGACACCGGCCCTCCAGGGCCGAGATTGGTGACCCCTGGTCCATTGCCTTAAAACAGGAACAATGTGAACTCTAAGTGAACCAGATAAACAGAGACCTGGACTTCAAGTGTGAATGCGTTAGATAGATATATATATATAATTAAAAACATTATTAAAAAATTCTCATGAATTCTTTTATATTTAGATTAACATCTTAAAGTTGACAATGAATTAAAAATATATTTTTTACAAATCAGACAATCGCTTAGAAATGTTTATTTATTTAGATTGAGTGAATAGTTCTGAATAAGTAAATGATTTTTGCTGTGATATTGCATTAAATCTATGTATTATTACTCTGTTTCTGCTCATACTTTTAATTGTATCCTTTTTAAAAGGCACAGGGTTAAACTTGTGTTTGTTTTCAAACTGGTAATCATTTCCAATTCAGTTTTCAATCACTCATCGCAGGATCTTTATATTCCTGTTTTATTTGGAAAGATCTGCCCATGAAACACAGATCTCAGCACTCAGCCCACTTTCTCCATGGTGGGTTTGTGCGCTCATGTTTTAAGTAAACCCTGCTTTATCTCTGCTCAAGGATCTACAGGCGGCCACAGTAAACCCTGACCCCAGTCTGAAAGAGTTTGAAGGCGCAACTCTCCGCTACGCCTCCCTTAAGCTACGGTTTGTGAAAGAGAATAAATAAACATATACGGGAGAGAATAAAATGGCAGTGAAGTGAGATGTAAAACTGTCTATATGCCTGTGTTTAGAAACCCTGCTCCTGTGGAAGAGGAAGATTCCAGCAGCATTAACAGTGACCCTGAGGCCAAGGTGAGTGTATGAGTTTGTTCTGCACAGATAACAGATCTTCACACATAAACAGCCCTACACAGAATTTATTTTAGTCTTCTTGAGGACTGCATTCAAATGAACACCTGCCAAGCTATGAAGAAAATATATATATAATATATATATATATATATATATATATATATATATATATATATATATATATATATACACACACAAGATAATGCTAACACTTTAAAATAATGATACATTAATTAATGTCTTTATTAACACTAACAAACAATTAGTAATATATTCATCTTTGCTAAACATAGTTTATATTAAGTTAAATACCATTAGTTCAAATTGGTTTATGTTAACTGACAGTACATTTAATTTTTATAGTGCATTAGTTAAAGGGATGGTCCAGAGTGTATTTTTGAGGCTTGGTTGTGTTTATAAGATGAAAAGCAATGTATGATGATGCTTCTTTTGTGGAAAATAACATTATTTTTTCACGTATCTTACTTTGATTATATACAGCTACTCAGATAACATGAAAACGACAATCATATTAACTAGTTCCTCCAAAAGCCCGCCTTCAAGAGGCTCTGATTGGTCTGCTAACTAAATGAGCTGTGATTCGCTGGTCGGCTCCTAAACACTGTTAATCAGAGTAGCTGTTAGCCCTATCAGTTTGTGCCTGAATCAGACATAAAATGAAGAGGACACAGCTAAACCTCACGCCTGCTCTCCAAAATAAAATCTGACAAGTGTCTTTTACATATATTCAGAATAAGCATGTGTAAGTAATATGAAATGTTCACATATCCTTTGTTATTTGAGATGTAGAACGCAGGGAAAGCAGCCGCATAGAGAGACACTGGTGAAGATTGTGGGTGTTTACAGTGGTTTGACAGATAAATATAAATGTGTAGCTAAATTGTTAACGATGCCAAACAACATTTATTATTGTTTACATCCTTGTTTGCATCATTGCTACAACATATTGTTAATGCTAAAATTGATCCATGTAATTGATGTATTTTATAAAATACTTAAAATACTTGATGTAAACAAATAAAATACTTAGAGGTTGTGGCTCAAAATCCACTTCTTCTATTATGGTTGGAGCTGTTTTTTAGCTGAATCCAGCACTGAACTTAGGAGAGATTCTGAAAGTTCTCCTTTGTCAATTGCTAGCTATATATTTGCGTTTGGACGGCATTTTAGCTCTCTCTGTTATAACATTACAGCGCCTCTGGCCATGCCTTTTTGCTGTGTGTGCACATGTTAAATCCGCATAACCTGTAGCGCTCGTGATCTCTCTAGCCATGATGTATTTTTTCTAGTTCCCAAACTTCGTTCGCTGTAGGCTTTGCTAAGCTAACTCTGTAAAAGCCAATGTCTCCCTTTGCATCGAACTTTGAGCGTATTACATTCAGAGGTGTTTTTTCTGTTCACACAGCTACATCGCACATGAACTAAATTTTAAAATATGATATCGTAGTGAACCATGAGCAATAAAAGCTTTACAGGATTATTCATTCTTAGATAATGTTAGTGAGTACATGAGCTAACATTTAACAATGGACCGTTATTCTAAACTGTTACTAAGATACTATACTGCTGAGTTTCAACATTGTATGGTTAAGGTCTAATTATAAGAATCTTGCCATAGTAGACAAACATAATAAAATCAACAAACAATTACTTTAAATTTACTTAAAAATGTCAGTTTTGTCTCTTATATGATAAACTGTAAAACGTTTACCTCACTTTAAATTTTATTAGATGTAACCGTGTACACATTTTTACACCAAACATTTGGGTCGCCACATCGGAATGTCCGCCAACTTATCCAGCATATTTTACGCAATGGATGTGCCCTTTCAGCTGCAACCCAACACTGGGAAACACCCACACACACTTTTCATACACATACACTACGAATAAATTAGCTTATTAAATTCACCTATAGCGCATGTCTATAGCGGAGCACCTGTAGGAAACCCACGCAAACAATGGGAGAACATACAAACTCCACACAGAAATGCCAACTGAACCAGCCGAGGCTCAAACTAGTGATTAGTTTCGCTTATTGTTAGAAGGTTTGAAAAAAAAGTATAATTTATGGGATTTGTTTGTATTAACACAGTTTTTAAAGTTCTCTTTAGCTGTAACGTTAACTAGTATTTACATGTATTTATTTGTCTGTAATAAGTACGATAAATGTATATTTTAAGAGGATAAGCTCAAATTGTTTTATAAACATAGTATATTGGTGGAATTTGGTGTTGCTGCCAGTTTTAAACATCTAATGTAATTCTAGATGTATAGTGCCATCTAGTGGCTGCTCAGTGAAATGCAAATACTTGTCGTGCTTGGAAATGAAGACTCTCAACCATGATCTTCATTTTCTTGAGTCAGAAAGCCAGTATTGAGGTAATAAAACATAGATGCTAATATATAATTTAATATAATATAATATAATATAATATAATATAATATAATATAATATAATATAATATAATACAATAAATATAATATAATATAATATAATATAATATAATATAATAAAAAATAATACTAAACACTATGTCTCAAAAAAAAAACACATGACATTATTTGCTACAGATTTATGCATCAAAACACTCAATGTAAAATATATCAATTATACAAAAAATGCTAAATTAATAATAAAAAAAGGTTTAACTACAAATTTTATTTGATCTTTACCTTGTTGATGGACAAAAGTTGACACTAAAAATTTCACAAAATATATGTTATATGGTTATACTTACTAATTTGATAATAAAAATACAATACAAAGAATATCTTTTAATATATTTTTTAAATTGTTTTATTTATTTATATGTTTTAATTTATATATTTTTGTATTTTAAAAAATGCCATTTTAGTCTTTACTAGCATATCATAATCTGTATATATGCATGACTTTATTGTTCCTCATTTTAACTATTTTATAATAAAATAAAATAAAATATTTATAATGCATAATATTTTACGTTACCTTTTTTTCAGCAGTCATTCATAAATATAAAGTGTAAAAGAAGAGTTATTGATTTAATTGATCATTATCAAAATACATTGTGAACATTGTCTTAGAAAGTTCAAGTTATCCATTTCTTTCCAAAAAATCATACCAAGACTAAACATTTGAACAGACATTTAAACTTGATGGCATATGTTGCACTCAGGTCTGTGCATTGCAACTGCACGGTAACACACTGTAAGTCAATTTTTAACTGTAACTGGATTTTTAATTGCCAGATAACCTCATCTAATATTCAGTTCATACTTTCTCAAAGTCGCACTCTTACTCTCCCCGTTCTCTCTTCCTCTATGCATGTTTCACACTCTTCCTCTTGAGGATCTGTCCTTTCAGCAGCAGTTAAAATCAAACCCATAGAGCACGACAACATTCTGCCTATTATTAATCTCCGTTACACATAAACTCTTTCATTATGGAGGCTCCTCATCACCCATTGTCAGAAAAAGAGAGAGACTGAATAATGGATGATGCTGCTCTCAGAATGCTGGGAGTGAGATACCGATAGGAGAAAGGAAGATGAAAGAAAAGATCTTCCAGTAACAGGGGTCTTGGTGTTTGATCTCAGCATTCTGATATTTGTGTGTGTGTGTGTGTGTGTGTGTGTGTGTGTGTGTGTGTGTGTGTGTGTGTGTGTGTGTGTGTATGTGTGTGTGTGTGTGTGTGTGTGTGTGTGTGTGTAAATGATCATGCATGTGTATGAAGGCACTCTGTCTCTCTTTCTCTCTCTCTCTCTCTTGTTCTCAGTGATTATAACTGAAGCTATTCTTAGAAGGTGCCATTTGAAAGTTTAAAGAGGTGTTTCCTCAGTTCAGTCTTTCTCACTGTAGAGTAGGAGGATTTCTGAATATGAAGCATATTGTAATGCAGTATGTAAACACATAATGGATAGGACATAATCTATTACATAATATAGTTGAAGTCAGAATTATTATCCCCTCCTTTAAATTGTTTTCTAGCTAATCCTTTAAATGTCAATTTAAACTGTATAGAAGTGTCTTTAAAAATATCTGGTAAAATATAATTTTACTGTCACCATGACAAAGATAAAGTAGATCAGCAATTAGAAATTAGTTATTAAAACTATGATGTTTAGAAATGTGTTGAAAAAAAAAATCTTCTCTCCATTAAACAGAAATTGGAAAAAAAAAATAAACGGGGGCTAATAATTTTGACTTAAACTGTATATTTAGGATTTGTGACCCTGAACCACAAAGTCAGTTATTAGTGTCTTTTTCTAAAATTAAGATTTAGGCATCTGAATAAATAAGCTTTTCATTAATGTATAGTTTTTTTTTACAATTGGATTATTTTGACCTGGATACAACTATTAAATAATCTGGAGTGTGCAGGGGCAAACAAAAGAAAATGCTGACAAAATCACCTTTAAGTTAACGAAAATGAGGTTGTTAGCAATACATATTACTAATTTAAAAAAATTTCAAGTTTTGATATAATTAAATCAGGTCATTTACTAAATACTTTCAAGGAACATGGTCTTTATTTAATATTTTAATGATTTTTGGACTAAAAGAAAGATCTATAATTTTAACCTATTCAGCATATTTTTAACTCTTCCCACAAATATCCATGTGCAACATAAGACACGTCTTATTGTCCAGAGTCATATTTGAATATGTCAAACTCATAATAATCTTCAGTCTTAACTCATATATAGGCATGGACAAGGAAATTAAAGAGCACTTGAAAACTCTCCTGGAGTACTGGAAGAGCATCCGCTGTGTAAAATATATGCTAGATAAGTTGGTGGTTCATTCCGCTGTGGCGACCTCTGATAAATAAAGGGACTAAGCCGAAGGAAAATGAATGAATGAACGAACGAAGGAATGAATATCATTTTGTTTTAATTTCTTGACATTAAAAATCAGGGATAGCTTGGCATATATTGGTATTGTGTTGTCTTAAAAAGTAATACAAATCCGTCTGAATATAACAATAGAGTATGTTTTTATCTTTTTTTTGGCAAAAAGGAAATTCTCTAAATGAAATGTTTCATCAGTGGGTGTGTTTTTTTTTATTCCAGTGTTTTGCCGTGCGCTCTCTCGGTTGGGTAGAGATGGCTGAAGAGGATTTGGCTCCGGGTAAAAGCAGTGTCGCTGTAAACAACTGCATTCGTCAACTGTCCTACTGCAAGAATGACATACGAGACACTGTGGGCATCTGGGGAGAGGTGAGCTACAGCTACACACACACACACACACACACACACACACACACACACACACACACACACACACACACACACACACACACACACACACACACACACACACAGAAACAAATACATTTCTAAAAATCTTTTGCACAATCTTTGCACAGTTTTACCAGAACCTTTGAAGTTTGAAATAGTTCTGCTGCTTTACACAAATATTTTTTTTAATATCCATATGCTGGGGCAAAGGAGTGGCGCAGTAGATAGTGCTGTCGCCTCACAGCAAGAAGGTTGCTGGGTCGCTGGTTCGAATCTCGGTTCTGTGTGGAGTTTGTATGTTGTCCCTGCCTTCGCGTGGGTTTCCTCCGGGTGCTCTGGTTTCCCCCACAGTCCAAAGACATGCGGTACAGGTGAATTGGGTAGGCTAAATTGTCCGTAGTGTGTGTGTGAATGTGTGTGTGTGTGTGGATGTTTTCCAGAAATGAGTTGCGGATGGAAGGGCATCCGCTGCGTAAAAACTTGCTGGATAAGTTGGCGGTTCATTCCGCTGTGGCGATGCCAGATTTATAAAGGGACTAAGCCGACAAGAAAATGAATGAATGGATGAATGATCCATATGCCTGCCTATAAATAAATTCAATTAGAATTTTATTTTACTTAAGGATAAAGATAAAAATTATATAGCGATCACTAATACTTGCATATTACTATAATATTTAAAGTTTCAATTAAAAACAAACCCAAAAGTCCAAACCCAAAAGTACACAAAGTTCAGTTTCTATTTATTGTTTGATATACAGGCAGTAATCTACATTTAAATAAAAAAATTGTATGCAATCATGTAAAAAATAAGGCAGATATGGTTCAACAACAGTTTATTGTTATAGTTAGGAGACCACTTAAACATTCAGAGTTTTTGTAGATGTACTGAATTTGCTACAGTAGGTGTTTGTTTAAGTAAATTTTACTGTTGGTTTTATTTATTTTATTCAGCATTTCTTTACGTTTCAGATAGAAAATATAAATATTTTTTAATCATTCATTCATTCATTTATTCATTTTCTTGTCAGCTTAGTCCCTTTATTAATCTGGGGTCGCCACAGAATGAACCGCCAACTTATCCAGCAAGTTTTTACGCAGCAGATGCCCTTCCAGCCGCAACCCATCTCTGGGAAACATCCACACACACACTCATACACATTAAAGTTAAACATTAAATATTGCATATAACAGGTTCAGATAATTATAGTTCTAGACTAATTTCTAGACCAATATAATCTGCAGTGCAAATATTTACAGAAATACTTTTCTAAACTATATGAGCTGTGTAAATCGAAACTTTAAATGTAATGCTTTGTGACACATTGTCTACACGCCATTTAATTACATTGTTTCACAATCACAAAAACTGAGCGATTATAAGATTTTTTTATAAGATAAGTTTATTTTGCGTTTACAGTTGAAGGCAAAATTATTAGCAACTTATTAGCTAAATAATTATCTGTGAATTGTTTATTGTTTTACTATTTCCCAAGTGATGTTTAACAGAGCAAGGATATTTTCCCAGTATGTCTGATAATATTGTATACATATATAATGGATAGGATATAATCTATTACATAAAATATACAATTGAAGTCAGAATTATTAGCCCCCCTTTGAATTCTTTTTTCTTTTTTAAATATTTCCCAAGTGATGTTTAACAGAGCAAGAACATTTTCACATTAAGTCTGATAATACATTTTTTCCTCTGGAGAAAGTCTTATTTATTTTATTTTGGCTAGATTAAAAGCAGTTTTTAAATTATTTAAAAACATTTTATGGTCAAAACTATTAGCCCCTTTAAGCTACTGTATATATTTTTTGATTGTCTACAGAACAAACCATCGATATACAATAACTTGCCTAATTACCCTAATTAACCTACAGTACTAAAGCCTCTAAATGTATATATATATATATATATATATATATATATATATATATATATATATATATATATATATATATATATATGTATTTTATTGTATTTTTTGCCTAGAATAAAATGTTAGTTTATTTAGGTCAATATTAATAGCCCCTTAAAATTTAAGTTTTTTGACTGGCTACAAAACAATGTCTTTATATTGCACTTAATACTAGTGTCTCCCAAAATAACTAGTACAATAATATGTAATCCTCATGGCAAAGACACAATAAATAAGTTATTAAAAGAATTATCTTTAAAAATGTCTTTGTTAAACAGCACTTTAGAATGTTTGATTTTTTTCAAAAAGGGCTAATGATATTGCTTTTAACTGTAAAAAGAACCGTTAAAACTGCATTTATTGTTTGAGTTTCCTGATAGAAAATGTGCAGATTTGTAAAGTTGAAACACTTTTTTATTAAAAACACAATTTTTATTAAGTAAGCTCTGCTATAAAGGGTTTTTTATTGTTTTATTTATGCATAAGCTGAATCAACATAGACTAAAAGATAAATCTTGGGGTTTAAGATTCAATTTCTATTCATTATGATGAAGAAAATATCACATGTGCAGTGGTTAAAACATTTCTGCAGTTCATACAGTATGTGTATCATACTCAAAGAACCCTGGTAAACACTTGTATTTTTACATCACTAGTTCTCTTTAACTAATCTTTTCAGTATTCTTCATATTCACATTCATTCAAAATATGTACAAGGTTTCTAAACATACCTTGTGTCATTTTGATAGAGGAGAACATAGAATTGGGGATAAACTGTAAAAAAGTCAAGGCGAGAAAGAATAAGAGTAACAAAGAGGAGAAGCTGAAAATGTCATGCAGGAAAAGCAACTGAATAGAATGGGAAGAGGAAGAAAGAGAGTTTAATGTGTTGTGACAGGACACAGGAAGAGAGCCTCTGTTCTCCTTCTGCCTTTTATTTTCTGGTCTGATCATTTATTCATTACTTCCAACATGCATACGAGCACAACCATGCTTAGACCTTATAGCTGTGACATTGATTCCAAAACCTAGTGAGTTGCTACATGGGTAGTATTTCAAGGCACAATGGCTGCATTTATGTCTCAAAAGCTGTTCCAGATCATAGACAGCATTAGTATTTTATCTCCACTGTTTATAGACCTCTGTATAAAAATAGTTAACTAAACCATGTTGAATGGTAGCGAAGCAGTGGTGCAGTAGGTAGTGCTGTCACCTCACAGCAAGAAGGTTGCTGGTTCGAGCCACGGCTCAGTTGCCGTTTTTGTGTGGAGTTTGCATGTTCTCCCTGCGTTCGCGTGGGTTTCCTTCAGGTGTTCCGGTTTCCCCGAGAGTCAAAAGACATGCGGTACAGGTGAATTGGGTAGGCTAAATTGTCCGTAGTGTATTAGTGTGTGTGTGTGTGTGAATGTGTGTGTGGATGTTTCCCAGATATGGGTTGCAGCTGGAAGGGCATCCGCTGCATAAAAACTTGCTGGATAAGTTAGCGGTTCATTCCGCTGTGGCGACCCCTGAATAATAAAGGGACTAAGCCGACAAGAAAATGAATGAATGTTGAATGCTGAAAATCATTAATAATATATATTTAAGACTTGAAACTTGACATTTTTACCAGGTGTTGATAACAACCAAAGAAATACGCACGCACACACACACACACACATCTAATTAGTTTACAAATGAAGTTATGTGTAATAAAATTAAATGACACAGGAAAAATTATTAAACACATAAAGAAAGTCAGCTGTAGAATGGCAGTGATAGCCCAGACAGCAGCTGAAATCTCTCAGTGTTATTCAGCAGCCATCTGCCTTTTGTCATTGTAAATTAATATTAGCTGCTTCAGTCCAACATCTATATAATCAGGATGATGAAGATGAAACCAGAGTTTATGTTTAAGCAAGACAATGATCCAAAACGCAATCAAGGAAACTCGCAAATGGCTTCAGAGAAAGAAAATCAAGCTGTAGAATTGCCCAGCCAATCACCTGACCCGAATTCAATAGAAAATGCAAAATAAAGATCAGATTTAACAGATGAGGTCCACAGAACCATCAAGATTTTTACACTCAGTTGAAGTCTGTAAAAAAATCACACCTGAGCAATACGAGACTTCATTCTCCATATAAGAGTCATCTTTAAGTAATTTTATATATATATATATATATAAATATATATATATATATATATATATATATATATATATATATATATATATATATATATATATATATATATATATAATGTTAAATGCTTTTAAAATGTTTTGTTTGTTTGTAACACAATAAACTTGGTAATAAAATTTAGTTTTACTTAAAAATGAAATGAAAATTCCCTCAACTTGCTCCAAACATGATTGAGCTTAAACACAAAAGAAGATATTTTGATGAATGTAACACAATGGTAGCTATTGACCTCCATGGTGTTTTTCACTTTTATAAATTTCATGAAAATATATGATTTTGTTTTCCAGTGAAGAAAGTACGTTCGTAAGGTTTAGAACAAGTAAAGTGTGTTTAAATAAGGAGTAGATTTTCACTTTTGTGTGAAATATTCCTTTAAAAATATATATACCATGATAAAAGTTTTGTGTTATGCATACAACATGTTCTGAGTTTGAAAAATTACACATATTTAATTTTTTGCTCAAAACTAAAGTTTATATCTAAGGGAAAAAAATATATTATTTAATCCATTTTTATGATTCCATATAAAGCAGATTACCTTATTGGTAATAAACAGAGAAAGCTCACTAGATTTTGAAATTGAATGTTTATTTTGTGTGTGTGTGTGTGTGTGTGTGTGTGTGTGTGTGTGTGTGTCTGTGCGTGTCTTTGTGTGTGTGTGTGCGTGTGCATCTGTGTGTGCCCAGGGGAAGGACATGTACCTCATTCTGGAAAATAACATGCTGAATCTGGTTGACCCAATGGATCGGAGCGTCCTCCACTCTCAGCCAATCGCAAGCATCCGTGTGTGGGGCGTTGGCCGTGACAATGGAAGGTAATCACCTGTTCCCATTTTTTATGTGTTAGTCAAGGAGAGCATATTCAATGGAAAAGGATTTGTGAAATGTTTAATAAATGACAGAGATAAACTGGAGGAAACTAAATGTTTTATAATGCCCTCTTTATTCATGAAGATGTGGGAGGTGATTTTAAAATTTTCTTAGTTCATAAATGTCTGTTTATGATTTTTTGAAAGTGCACTGAAGGGGCGAAAAGGGGATTTTATATCGGTTAAACGGTTACAGCTTTCAGCCACCGAGAACATCATCAGCTTCTTATTTACGAAGAGCTCATTTTCCACTGTGCTGATCCTGTTCAGCTGACTGCTCCTTTACTAACACTAATAATGTTTAATCTCTGTGACCAAGCAAACGCTGCCTTTATACTTTAAGAAAAAAATACTGACTAGTTAAATCAGACCTCTTCAAAAATTAGCTGACCTACAAAAGCCATTGAATAGAGGGGAAGTAAATTTGCCTTTCAGCATTAAATTTTTATCACTAGGCAAATTATTTTATCCAAAGTCATTTACAAACGAGGACAATTGAAGTAATTAAAGCAACTAAAGTACAAGAAGATATAAATTATATGACAAAATCTCAGCTATTTAATAAAATCCCAGCATCATACAGTATATATATATATATATATATATATATATATATATATATATATATATATATATATATATATATATATATATATATATATATATTAGGCCTGCAAGATATTGAAAAAAATCTGACATTGTGATATTTAGTTTTTCTGCCATACATTCTATATTGAATACCATTTCACCAGATGGCTTGAATAGATCTATTGTGAAAAAAAATATTAATTTAGATTGGTTGGGTTGAAAAGAGACTAAGCGGAAAAGAAAATTAATGAATGAATGGTTGGGTTGATTTTGGAGGGTGTGAATCATACGGTGGCCGAGAGAGCTTAACGTGCTGCAATTTAAGAAAACATGAGCAATAAACAACACAGGCAAATTAATGAAAGACCTTCATCCGTTTGACAGCACACAAGCTGCAAATCCTCACAGTGCAAACATTTAACGTAAATGCACTGCATTTTCTCACAACACGAAAAGAACGGAACACAACGGAAGTGTTTCAAGGGGACCCAAAACATGACGGACACCACTGTGCCGTGACTATTGCTCAGTGATGTTGTAGGTGATCATTGAGTGGTGAGTTTTTTGTTTGTTTATTTTAATATCCCAATTTAAGTGTCCTTAGTTTTTATTAGCCTAAATAACCATAACCTAAATAGCCGGGTCCGTCATGTTTTAGGGTCTCCTTGAAACATTTCCGTTGGGTTCTGTGCAATTTAAGAAGTGTTGTAAGAAAATACAGCTCATTTTTGTAAAATGTTTGTGTTGTGAGAAAATGCAGCATGTTTTATTCATTTGTTTACATTGTGAGAAAATGCAGTGCGTTTTATTAGTGTTTGAGTTGTGAGGATTTGCTGTATGTCTGCTATCTGCTTTGAATTTGCTGCCATTTTTTGTAATTGCATGTGTATTTTAGTGCATTAATCTCTCTCAGCCACCATATAATCTTGTATGAAAAAATAATAGAATTGCAAGAGTAATTATTGTAGAGCAAAGAAAAAAGTAAAATTAACAGTTGTTTATGGTTTTTCAGTCAAACAGCATTCCAGAAATTTAATAATGTATTTACCACCATGGACCAAACCACACTTAGAGCTAGCCTTTATTGTAGGGATGAAGGGGATGGTAACAGTAATACAAGTAGTAAGAACAGTAAGATGAAGAGGAAAGGAAGTAATATGATAATCTGTGAACAGGTAGGTAGGTTAATCGGGCGTCCTACGATGATGCCCAGAGACTCAGAGTAGGGGTATCGTATTTTGGTAGAGTGATTGGACCCCCCTGATTTACTCTAGGAGTGAAGAGAGGGTTATGGGATTGTTAATAGGAAGCGAGGAAATAGAGGGACGGTGGGTTTGAGAGAACAAGAAGAACAGTGCTAGAGGGCTAGTCTGCCTTAAATAAGTTTCAGGCAGTGAGTGATTGGTTAAGGAGACAAAGTGAGGCGTGGTTCCGGCGCCGAACCTTTGTTAACAAGTTAACTCCATATCTAATGTAAAATAACACTGTATAGTCTTCATTTAATTAATAATTCAGTAAAATATTTCGGTCACACTTTACAATAAGGTTCATTAGTTAATGTTAATTAATGCATTTACTAACATGAACAAACAATGAACAATACATTTACTAACGTAATTGTTCATGTTAGTTAACGTTAGTTAATGAAAATACAGTAGTTCATTGTTAGTTCATGTTAACTCATGGTGCATTAACTAATGTTAACAAGCATGGACTTGGATGTTAATAATGCATTAGTAAATGTTCAATAATGATTAGTAAATGCTGTACATGTGTTGTTCATGATTAGTTCATGTTGGTAAATGCATTAACTAATGAACCTTATTGTAAAGTGTTACCAATATTTCTTCATTAAAGTTACGATTGTTTTATGTTATTGTGCCTGATCGCTTTACATTTTCTTGAATGCCTTTAAAACCCATGCAAATGAGAAAGTTTCACTTTTCACTATTCTCAATTGTTGATCGACTATAATCCCAACTTAACATTTTATATCCTGCGATGTGACTATTGCGGACACACACGTTGCGATATTGATGCTGAAACAATATATGTGTGTGCATGTGTTTGTGTGTGTGTGTTTGGGGGGGGGGGGGTATGGGGGGTTATATTTGTAAATGCATTAGTATAACAATACCTAATGAGTAGCAATGTTTAATAAAATGTCAGTGTTTAGGCTTTTATTAAATTTTGAGTGAACACTGTAATTAAAAAAAAAAAAAAAAAAACTTCCTAATATGATATCATTAGCAAAGGAATCGCAAATGCACTGTGACAGACCATTGCAAGCTATAGCTTGTAACATATGTGCCTGGAATTCCTCGCGTTTCATTTTAATTAGAGATTGCAGATCTGCAAGCATCAGCACCTTTGCACCTGTGACTTCCCTCATGCGTTCATTATCACTAGCACATAAGAGATTCACTTAATGTGTCTATGCTAATGTATTCTGATATGGAGACGCTCCTCCAGCCCCTTCACGCTAAAGGTCACCATAATGATTTTGGATTGAAGAAGTCAGGCCAGTGAAAGGAGGACAGAAATAAAAGATTGATGATCAAGAGACAAGTGCTAATGAAAGTTTAATCCAGCGTTATCGGGACTGCCTGTGTGTGAGTGTTTGTGAGGTCATCCAAATAAATCTCCCACACTCTCCAAAAAGCTGTACTTTTCCTGCTTTAGTCCCAGAAGAGTTGATTGGTTTGTGTGTATGCGTGTGTGTGTGTGTGTGTGTGTGTGTGTGAATGATGCAGGGGTTGAATGCAGCATACTTCATCACGGATGCTGAATCACAGTTTTGCCTCACTGAGTGTTCGCAGTACCACTTTCTGAGCAGCAGATGGCGCCCTTCATATGTTCATTAACAGGAATTGCGCTTTAGGCTTGGTTTTTGGTTTCCCAGATATAATGTGCAGTCTGCATGTGTAAGTATTTTTTTGCAAGTGATCATCATGTCCTCCAATGCTAATACGCCACTAAGCCCATCAGTAACATTTTCCTCACCAGACCCCGGAGGAGGTTATAGCGTAGCGACAAGCCATACGGGAGGGGGAGGGTAGAAGGAATGCTGGGATTGGATGGAAGGAGAGAGAGAGCGAAAATGAGAAGGGGGTAAAAAAAAAGAGAGAGGGAGATTGAGCGTAGAGAGGTGAGCTGCATGTTTTTAACAGAGCAGAGGATGAGTCGAGGAGGTGAAAATCTGTAGAAGAGCGCTACGACATAATGCTGTCCAAGGAAAAACACATTACTTTAAAAAGATGTGAGTATTTTTCTGTCACATTTTTAAAAAATATTGTGCTCTCTTTTGGTCACTTATTAAAGACCCAATGTTTTTAATACTGTATGGCATTTTTATACTTATCCAGTGAGGCATTTGTTAAGTAGTTTCTGTTGAGGAGTTCTGGAGTGAGAACGTGGAAGTAGTTTGGGCTGATGGAGTGGGTGGAATTGCTCCAGATGGTGTAAATGAGGAGGTGGAGAATTTCACTAGAGGATTAATAATGCGTTGTTGTCATTTACTGTGGCAAGGATAGTATAGAGGAGTACTGCATGTGCAGTTATTAAAGTAGGTCACGGCAAGATGTTCACATCACTAAATGGGTTACATTGGAAAGAGACTGCAACTTCCTTACGTGTTCCCTCAGATCAGGCCTTCCCTCTGATACATCCCACACATCCATACAAACTAGAGCACTTGGCTTTTTTCAAATTCCTTAGGGAAACCTCAGGGTTCTGTTCTCGGTCCATTTGCGTTGTACCTCCTTGTAGTTTCTCCTTGACCCTCCAGCATGTCTTTTTGTAATATTTATTTATTTTTAATCCTTCTGAGATGCTGAAAAATAGACTTTTTGAACAGGTTTGCAACCTGAGGTTCATTCTAGGCTTTATTATATGCACTAGGTTTATTCTCCCTGCCTCACTGTCTGTTAGATCTCTAATTATAACACTGTTACATATTCATGCCTTTTACTGACTACACACCGAGAGCTTCATGGTTTGAGGTGTCATACATCGAGGAAAATCTCTGAATTCTCTTGTCACACCTGCTGGTCTTTCATACACGCATACATACACACAAAGCTCTGCTTTTCTTATCACAAAGTCTGGAAAATAAAGAGCTGCCAGAAAATGAACCTTTTCTTAAAATAAGAATACATTCATGCCACAGGAAGTTCTAGCAGTTGTTTTTTAAGCTGCACATCTTGTCAAACCCATTTTTGTTGGTCTGTTTTTAATTAATAAATTGAAATACCTTTGAAGCTTGTTCATGAAACACAAGCAGAACATGCTTAATTCATAATATGTGTGCTATCATGTTGAAATGGCATTAGCAGATTTTTTTTAGAAAGGTTTAGTTGGTGATTTTGTTGAAATGTTTTGCTTGTGGTTCAATAATGAGTATCATTGTGCTCATAATGTTTTTCATTTTTTACTCTGCTGCTTACCGGGACTCAGAGAGAGGTAAATTGCTTTACCCTTTTGTTATTTGTATTCTCATCATTGTCTTGTTGTAGTCTGTTGCCGTTCATTTAGTTCATAATAGTTTATTTTTAGCTGTAAGAATATGCGTATGATACAGCTGAAGGTGTAAGTTTAGAGACACTCATTCATCTTAGACAGCCACGTGCACCTGCAGACAGCAGGAGAGGTGCATGCATGCATTTTTTGAGCACTTTTATTTTTACACCCTTTTTTTTTTGTATGCTTGAAATTAGGGTGTGCATTTCTTTAAGTAATTGTTTTGAAATTGATTGTCGCTGTTAAATCTAAAGGGCACATCATCCATCAGTGTATCTGAGGGCAGTGATTAGCATATTAACACAAACACACTTTTCACATTCACACTCATTTTGTTTATAACCAAGTGTCCTAATCGATGCTATATGTTAATATGCGAATCAATTCCTTCAAGTCAGTATAAAAACATGATGGTCTTTGTTTACATTTCTAATGTTTATTATTTTATTCCAATTTTTATTTATTATATTATTTTATTTATTTATTATTTATTATATTACTCCAAATAAAAAATGTGTAAAACACTGTATAGTGACACCCTTAATTTCTGTGGTTCCTTTTTGGAAATAGTAGATTTTGTGAGTTAAAGGGATAGTTTAACCAAAAATGAAAATGTATTCACTATTTACACCTTCAAGTGGTTCCAAATCTTTATGAGTTTCTTTTTTTCTGAAACTAAAAGCTGGAAACCGGTTACCACTGACTGCTAAACTAAGAAAATCAATGGTTACTGGTTTGCAACATTCTTTAGAATATCTTTTATTGTGTTCATTAGAAACTCAAACAGGTTTGTTACAAATTACGGGTAAGTAAATGATGACCCAATTTTCCATTTTCTGTGAACTATCCCTTCAAATGAGTTTGGGCTTTACTTTAAACAGCTGTTTACTTCATGTTTAATCTTGTCTCATTTTAATTGTGTGCAAACAGGGATTTTGCATACGTGGCACGAGATAAGGACACCCGGATATTAAAATGTCATGTTTTCCGCTGTGACACCCCTGCCAAAGCCATCGCCACCAGTCTGCACGAAATCTGCTCTAGGGTAAGATTTACGTGCTAAACAAACAACATCCAACACAGAATTATCCTCAATGGCCTATTCTAAGCGGATTAATGAAAAAGTTACATTAGATTGAAGTGAAAGCTACTCATAGTCTCAGGTCTGTGTGAAGGGGAAAGAGTACAGCTGAGAAACGAGAAATAAGGTTCACATTCTGTTAAGGCTGCTGATTTAGAGCAGAGATTCTAATGAGTTCGATTTCTGTGTAATAGATCATGGCAGAGCGCAAGAATGCCAAAGCTATGGCTGGAGGATCCCTACAGGACAGAACACATGCTGGCCTCGACGTCCCATTACAAGGTAACACAAAATCTAATACACTAACAGTTACAAATTTGCAGTAATTGGATTCTTAATGTTTCTGAAATAAGTCTCTTATGCTCAGCAAGGTTATATAGAGTTGACGTCAGAATTATTAGCCCTTCTTTGAAATTCAGTTCTTTTAAAAACGAAGTGCTGTTTAACTTAGAGAAGTTTATTAGCAAGTTTTAGAGTAGTTGTATTATATAGCTATTGGATAACAGTGGTTTGCACTATATTCACCTTATTCTTCGCCGACGAATGGGCGCTGCCATTTGAATCTTTTTGGCTTGAGACTTCTGGTCTCATTCACTTCCATTCATTTTTTGACGTTAAAAACTGCTCATTATGCTGCTTGATGTTGCAATTTGATATTTTCTTATTATATTATTCTACTTGGTCTGTACAGTCATGCAAACATTTGTTTGCAAAGCAAGTAGTTTGACCGTTTTCTGCCGTTTATTATTCCTAGTCATTTCTCCCATAGGCGACTGAATCGGAAGTTCTAAGACAATCGCGAAAACAGGCGCACTTCCGCATTTTAGAATAAGGTCAATACAATTAAATAAATAAAAGGGCTTAAAGGGCCGATAATATTGACCATAAAATGTGTCTTTAATCCAACCAAACAATAAAAGACACTTCCCCCAGAAGAAAACAGTGTTAAATGAAATACTGTAAATATATATATAGCAATAAGACAGTAAAGAATGTAATGTAATAAAGCATTTTTTTGTTGATTAAAGTATGAAAAGTCTTCATCACACCATTCTTTATAAAAACTAACATTGCTCATAAAAAATTGGGGTAAAATATTTATGGTTATAATATACAGTTTTAGGCATTCTATAAACCAAAGTATACTCTAAAAAGCATTTTCCACAAAATAGTTGTTGAAAAACATTTTAACCATTGATAATGGTATACAGTTGAAGTCAGAATTATTAGCCCCTCTTTTAATTATTTAAATTATTTTAATTTAATTATTTCCCAAATGATGTTTAACAGAGCAAGGACATTTTCACAGTATGTCTGATAATATTTTTTCTTCTGGAGAAAGTCTTATTTGCTTTATTTCGGCTAGAATAAAAGCATTTTTAATTTTTTAAGAAACATTTTAAGTTCAAAATTATTAGCCCCTTTAAGGTATTTTTTGATAGTCTACAGAACAATATACAATGACTTGCCTAATTACCCTGACTTGCCTAGTTAACCTAATTACCCTAGTTAAGCCTTTAAATGTCACTTTAAGCTGTATAGAAGTGTCTTGAAAAATATCTAGTAAATTATGTACTGTTTTCATGGCAAAGATGGGTCCCACTTTATATTAAGTGGCCTTAACTAATATGTACTTACATAGGAATTAATAGTTTGTTACAATGTACTTATTGTGTAAATACATGTATTTACTGTGTACTTATGCTTGATTAAATACCTGTATGTAGTTACATCTGTAATTAACTTTTGTAATTACATTTGTAAATACACTGTTGACCATCCCTTACACCTTAACCCACCCTTAAACCTAACCATGCCACCAAACCTGTTCATAACCCAACCTCTATCCCAACTCAAAAGCACCACAAGTGTTCTCAAATACATTATAAACACAGTAAGTACATTGTATTTATTTTTTGATGTAAGTACATAGTAGTTAGGGCCACTTAATATAAAGTGGGACCCAAAGATGAAATAAATCAGTTATTAGAAATGAGTTATTAAAACTATTATGATTAGAAATGTGTTGAAAAAATCTTTCTCTCTATTAAACAGAAATTGGGGGAAAAAATTAACAGGGCGGCTGATAATTCAGGAAGTTTTATAATTCTGACTTCAACTGTAAGCCATTATTAGTAGCTGACAGCAAAAGAAAATATTCAAAGACTGGAGCAATGGCTGCTGAAATATATCTTTGCCATCCTAGGAATAAATTACAATTTAATTTTCATCTCAACTACAAAAATGTTGGCCCAATTCAAATGTAACTTTTTTTTTTTACTTCTACACCTTCCCCTTGGCCCTTGAGACAAAATGTGAAGGGAAAGGGCTTCGACCCCTAAGAAATGGCACAGCACTACAACACCTCCATACGTCATCATATGTCATTGCAATCTCTTGTTTCATACGAGGTTGACGATGCCAACTGCTGTAGTTATTCCAACATTTGCAATATTTTTTTGGTATTTGTCTTCAGGAAATCACTGAAGGCAGTGACATCATATTATTATAATGATATAATGTGGCAATGAGCTTATAAATGTACTGTGCATTTACACCAGGGCCATATTCATCTAAACAGACAAACTCAACATCAACGTTATACTAGACACTGTAAAAAGATCATTCGCAAACCACTAGACTTTTCTGACAGGTTATTTGAGTGTCAGATGTGAAAGTATGTTGTGGGACTACTATACAAGAGTTATTATTATGGATTATAGATAGCTAAATTTATTGTTTTTGATAGTTTTTTTTAGCATGATGCTCAAACATGAACGCCGTTATGAATGTTTTAAAAATATGTTTGTTGTAAAAATTCATAATCATGACAAAAAATACTAATTTGAAAATACTAATTTGTGCAGCCACACCTTCAAGCTAAAGAGAATTGAGACAGGGTAAGGGAAAAGGGCTAAAGGGTAGAATTGTGATTTGGCCATTATTTACATTTTTTCTTTATTTTAGATCAAATAAATGCAACCTTAATTATTCTAAATGAATACAATTATATTATCATCTCAATTATTCCAGACCTTGTGCAGTTGTGTATGCTTTTTTGTCTTGAGAAACCAGTGTGTATTAATGTGTATGTTGTGTTTTATTCTCAGCAGAGTTTCCCACACCAAAGACTGAACTGGTGCAGAAGTTCCAGGTGTTATATGTTGGCATGATGCCAGTTGCCAGACCTATAGGTGAGCAGATACACTTACTTCATAGTCTTGCACTTACAGCTTTCATGCTCACTCTCTCTTTTTAACACCTTCATGCTGCTTTTCTTTATAACAACAATTCCTCTAGGTCAGACTTAACAAAACAGTATCAGGCAGCTCAGTCATAGGTTTGATTTCTTGCATCTTTCTTACATCAGTAAATGAAGCAATAAATTGGTCATACATTTTTATCTGATTGTTTACAAGACAAACACAGCCTGCTGAAACTAGGAAACAAACATTCGTTGTCATGTCTTTATTAAAAAATATTTTAATAGCTGGCTGACCTTCCACTAAATCACCTATACAAAACTGCTGTTACAAGAAGTTTTACAGTTCACTAATGTCTAATAATTTAGAAATGTCAAATATGCATAACAGTTCTTCTTCTGTAGTTCTTTCCATCTTCATGCAAGTCAGGAACAGTTCTTCATCTTAAGCTGTTTTTGAATGGGATTAGTTGTAGATAGAGAGGTGAGGTAAAGTGGTTATTACCACAGCTCCTGAGTGATTTTATTGTTGCCCGAAAGTGTTATCTCAGTAATCATTACAGACAATGAGAGCAAAGTTAACTGCAACTTTTGCAGCTTCTACTTTTTGTAAAAAAAAAAAAAAGAATAATGACCTTGAATGCTTGTCTCATCTGATAGACCATTCATTCTCTCTATATAATGGGTTTACTTTAGGTTTTTTCAAGTATGGAGTCACTTGAAGCATTTAGTTGAGCTCTAGATTTTAAGAAAAGACTGTTAAAACATTTTCCACATAACATAAGGTCAACAACCCTTAGAAATAAACAGTTCAGTTAGCTGTAGGTAAACGGCTGCTAGCAACATTCAATCAGAATGTAAATAATTTAATTAATAAATTGTTAGAGATTTTAATAGTAACTTACAGTACTTACAGTAACTGTTTATAATATGTTCATAATACATAACTTGTGTGCATGCGACAACAGAGAGATACTCCTTCAATTGTTTTCTGTTTGTTTTAACTGAGATGTCTTATCCCATGTGAATTGGCCAACATATTGTGTCTTTTGCTAGCTAAAATTCATTATAGAGGAAGAAGTGTCTCAGGTGCTTTACACACATTAAGACTTTTTATACAATCTATGGTTTAGACAAAACATGCGAACAGCCATTTAAACAACAATGGAGGACACAAATCCTATTTTCGATTGTGTTTGTCAAAAGAAAAGGCAAGTTTTGTTTGACCATGGTTCATTGGTGTGCACCCTCATTATATTTATTGTGGTGTCATGTTTCGGCTGTGTATTTAGGGTGTACTCACACTAGGCTATACGTACCATGCTCAAACATGTTTGACCCTCATTTCCCAGGTTCATTTGATAAGTGTAAGTGCTCCGAATTGGGCCCAGGCACAGTTCAGTTGGCCGGCCCTGGCCCGATTGAAAGAGATGTGGCAGAGCACAGTTGGGTTGGGCTTTGGTGTGGTATGCTTGTAGTGTGACTGCAAAGCGTGCCTGAGCCTGAAACTGATAACGCGACATCACTTTTAAAGCACTGTTTCAGATGATTTTTTTAATCATTCTAGCTTTTCAGTGAATGTGAACTGTCATAGTTCATCAAAGATACAAACCCTACGATGACTTTCATGAACATTTATGAGCATCAAATGTCTGTTCAGCAAAAAATTTGACTATGTGTCACTGGATATCAAATGTCTTAAAATAATACAAAATAATAATACTAAAGCAATTTCCATTGTACGAAGCTAGAGTGCTTCTCTTCTGTTAAACTGAACAGTCACATCATCAATGACGTAACGTGCTTGGGCTCAGAAGGCAAAAATTCAATGTGAGTGCAGGTCAAGAGGGGAGGGGGACAATCGCACCTGGGCACGGTTCAAGACAACAGTACCTAGTGTGAATACACCCTTAAAAATAATGCTTCCTGTGTGGTTGTTCTCTTGGCTTGTTGTATGCACAAGTGACTGTGTAAACCAATAGCCTTCAGTAGCAAGTCTAGCTCCATCCTTTAAGCACAATACCGCTGTGCTCTGTCCCTCATGAAAGAGTGCCAAAAAAGTGGTACAGTATGGTTAACTAGTTTGGTACTTCTAACAGTGGAAATGAAAATAAATGAAAGTGAAAGTAAATCATTATAGACATTTTGTGGTAAAATTGCATTACTCCGTCCTGTCCTTAGATCTTATGAGATGTCTTTTGTTAAGTGGATTCAGTGTTGTTTTATAGGACATCATGGCTCTGATTAGACTCTAGATTGGAGAACTCCCCACTCTGGAAAACGTTTAATGAAATAATTTCTACCATACTTAATTTATCATTTTGCCGTTTTACCATAGGTTTCTAAAAATTTGGAAAAATGTGTTGCAGCCTAGATTCATCGTCATTTATTTGACAATGAATTGTTTGAGTAATTTAAATCATCCTTGCCATACTGCTGAGCCTCATCTTGTCAAAATCACTGCAGTGGACATTGGCTTACTAACTTCAGTCATAATGTATATGATCTCAGCATCGCATCAACACCATCTCAGATAGCAGATAGGCTGATTTCTGTCAGAATTACCAATACTGTTTGTTTATTTGGTTCAGATCATGTACTTCTTGTGTTCCACAAAGATCATTGTTGGGACCTTTACTTTTATTATATACTTAACCCTCTTGGTTTCATTTTTTATAAGATGTGGTATTAGTTTTCACAATAATTCTATGGCACTGCTAATGACTGTTCTTTCAAATGATTTAATATTAGACAAATGATTCCTGATTTGTGTTTGTTATAATTATTATTTATTATTTTACATTTATGAGTTATTGTTTAAAATGTTACTCTTTGGTTTGTTCTAAGTTCACCTTGAGTGCATTAAAAGGTGCCAACAATTACATATATTTATTATATTATATTATATTTATTATTATCATTTATTATTGGTATGTGTGATTGTACTAAACATTTTCAGTATGGGTTTTTAGGTTCAGCACATATTTGAATTAAACAAATATAGTGTTGTTTTAGCCACTTCATGTGCAGAACTTGATTTAAAACATCTGGGTTTAGTTATCTTCATTCTAATGAGTAAATAATAATTTTTAAATACCACAAAATACCTTTGAGTCTCCGCTTGGTTAGTAGATGCATGGTTAAAATGTGATACTTTATATATTTGTGCTTTATTTCCTTTAATAAAGAATGAAGCCTCACATTTGGTCTATTTTTTAAGAAATTCAACCAATTAATGTTATTTTTTGTAAATAAATTCAAACAAAAATGCTTCTTACAAATCCTTTTACTACTAGTAATAGCACCAAATATACATTAATACATGCCTCACATCCCATGTATTCACTTTGTTGCTAATCGGTTTGCCTATTGTTGCAATTTAGTTAAAAATAAGTTACAATTTCATGTCTGATTATTGTGGAATTTCAGGTTCACAAACTTTTTCCTGTTTCAAAGGTAGATGTTTCTGTTTTCTAGGCATGGACATTCTCAATGGCGCAATAGACACTTTGGTAACATCATCAATCCGAGATGACTGGATCCCTGTGCTGTTGAATGTAGCTGATGCGACAGTCACAGTCATCAAGGAAAAGGCAATTTCAGCTCTCTTCACCTGTTCATCCCAAAGACATTTTACTAGTTTTTGTGAATTTATTGTGTATATTATATGTAAATTGTTAACTCATGCATGATTCTTGTTGTCATTAGGAGGAAGACGAGGTCCTAGTGGAGTGTCGTGTGCGTTTCCTGTCATTCATGGGAGTAGGAAAGGATGTGCATTCTTTTGCGTTCATCATGGACTCTGGGAACCAACACTTTGAGTGCCATGTGTTTTGGTGTGATCCCAATGCTGGCAATGTGTCAGAGGCTGTCCAGGCAGCGTGCATGGTGAGTTCTAATAGTTTTGCACTGCATCAAATGTCAAATGTGTCACAAACACGCAATGTAAATGACCAATAAATTAGGGCTATACAGTGCTTAGCATATATAAGTGTACCCCTCACAAATCTTCTATTTACATTACTATTTCTATAGGAAGCTTTAAATTACTATATATAGGCATATACATTAAATTAGTCAGTACCGTTGTCAAATCTGGAGCTTATCTAACAAATGAAAGTATAACAACAGTCTAAAATTAGTACATCCAAATTTATATGTAAAAGAAAAATATTAAATACAATTTTAAAAGGAACAAAATTCAAGAGAAACAAAAAAATGTATAAAAATTTGTTGAAATTTTGTAGTTTGTATTTATCAAAATATTGATTTATTAATTTATCTAAAATTTCGCATTAATTTAAATGTATTATCTTTCTATTTCCAAATGATGTTTGGCGACTAAAATATTATTTGAATAAACATATATGTTTAATAATTCTGTTCTGTTCAAATGCACCAAAATATTTGACCTATATTCACTGAGACTTGGATAAAAATATTCATTTTCAAAATGGGGTGTACTCAGGGCTTAATTTGTGCCGGAACAAGCCACATCTGGTTGTGGCACCTCTGAAATCTGATCTGGCACCTCATTTTACCGATCCCCCTCCTCATGACTCTTCTGTGACTCCCCACCTCGCTCTTCACTTCCCTCTTCACTTTTTCCACTTACCTCGCAATTTACAAATTAAGCATAATTTGTACTCAATTATGCTGAGCACTGTATATTCAAACACAATGTCAAGACCAAAGTTAAGCCTATATCGTACAGCCTGTTGAAAAACACAACTGTTCGCGTTTAGGGTCATTTTTTAAAATGTTTCTTAAATGATATCTCACTTACTCACTTTCTTTGAGTTTAGTCCCTGCTTTATCAGGGGGAATGAACTGCTATTTACTCTGGCATATGTTTTACACAGTGGATGTCATTCCAGCCACAACCCAGTACTGAGAGTACAATCCTCAGTGCTGGGAAACACCCGCACACTCCCATTACACACTAGAGCCAATTTTTTATCTAATTACTCTATACTGCATAACTTTGGACTGTGAGGGAAACCAGAGACCCCAAGCAAAAATATGCAGAACATGCAAACTCTACACAGAAAGGCCTTCTGGACCAGCTGGATCTCGAACCAGTGAGCTTCTTGCTGTGAGGCCACTGTGCTTACCACTTAGCCTTGGTTCTACCCTAAATTAAATTTCATATTCATCAGAAGGATGATAAATACAGTAAAAAAGTTTAATATTTTTACAATTTAAAATAACTTTTCTATTTTAATAAATTTATTCTTGTGATGGAAAACATTTTTTAGTAGTTGTTCCTTATAAGTTCTGAACAAATTAATATGAATTATGAAAAAAAATTGTGAATTATCATTAGTTGTTTTATTTTTTCTATAGCTTCATGTTTAAATATACACATGGAATACATGTGTAGAAAAAAGCCCATTTAAGACTTTTATAATATTAAAAGCATTGCAGTATTCTTCATAAATATTAAATGGATACTCCACCCTTGACTATCATTCTCTTATACCAACTTATGCAAATGTAGTGTCCAAACCACAACTAAACCTGCCAAAAGTTTCGAAAATCAACATTGAAAGATGTTATCCAACCCAGTAGGGCTGGGCGATTACTCAAAAAGTAATCGAAATCAACATTCATAACCTAAAATCAATCAAATTATTCTAGACAGATTTTTTTCAATTACTTTTCCTACCGCACGTGGAGTCACAGGACCTTGCCTTGTTAAGACTGATTTAAAGACAAATTACCATGTTTGTAAACATTCAGGATGCACTCGCAGCAAGGTAGCAGAAAAAACCCGGGAGCGCTAGCATTTACGTCGAGGGAATAACATCTGATGCGGTACAAAGTTTGTTGTTGTCTTAGAAATAAGTTGTATTGATTACATTCATTCATTCATTTTCTTTTCGGCTAAGTCCCTTTATTAATCTGGTGTCGCCACAGTGGAATGAACCGCTAACTTTTCCAGCATATGTTTTACGCAGCGGATGTCCTTTTAGCTGCAATCCATCTCTGGGAAACATCCATACACACTTATTCACACACACAATTTAGCCTACCCAATTCACCTACAGCGCATGTATTTGGACTGTAGGGGAAACCGGAGCACCCGGAGGAAACCCACGCGAACGCAGGGAGAACATGCAAACTCCACACAGAAACGCCAACTGACCCAGCCGAGGCTCGAACCAGCGACCTTCTTGCTGTGAGGCGACAGCACTACCTACTGCGCCACTGCGCCACCGTATATTGATTACATATTATATATTATTTACATAATGCATTTAGCATATTATAACAGCTTGTCAACCAGTGATAAGCACAGTGATTGTGCAAAATTAACGTTAAAGTGAGTGGCGTTTGTCTGACAGGTCCATTTGGATAGCACCCTCCCAATGGATATTGGATGTGACGAAATGGCCAACCATCCAGCCCCAAATATACAATCTTATTGAAGCTTCGATGTTTTAACTAGAGAGAAGTTAAAGGCCCACAAGTCTTTGGATGCCAGCAAATTTGTTCTGTGTGGAGATGTGCAAGAAATAATGTTCCATGATGACAAGATTCAAAACTATGTAGTGCTAAAAACCGAGGTTCTGCCTAGCCAAAGACAAGGAAAAAAGACGGAGCTAACGTTATACAAGGCCTTAGCAATCATTGACAAGCAAAACTACTGCATTCTGACTGTAAACTACACCTGCATGACAGAGTACGTGAACTTACACATAAAGGTAAAGTAGGTTTTATATTCGCACATCAGACTTTCTCCTTAATAATATAATTTCATAAAAGTATTATTTGCAAACTTTAAATAACGAAATCCCTTTAGCATCCAGTGACTATTAAAGTACAACATTGTTCACTGTCAAATAAACAGTGTTAATGTTGTTTGTAAGTCACACTTGCAGGTTATTTCAGACCAAATATTTAAAGTGCCGTGGTGAACAATATAGGGAGTGTGTCATAAGTTGTCACTGAATGAATATGTGTGAATATTAAACCAACTTTACCTTAATAACTTAAACTTTCACATTTCATTCTTAGTACTAAGTGTCCACAGTTTAATTAACATTGCTTGAATGTTTTTGCTGAAATCATTGCTGCAATCAAAAACGAGTAATGTGTGTGATTCAGCATAGCGTGAACTTACCTGATTTAACATGAGTCCATCATTTTTAATTAGGTTGTCACTTCATTCAGCTCCCTTTTAGCTAAAGACGTCTGCAGTTGGCATTAAAGCAGTGTGGTGTATAGTAAATGTTAAGTTTTCTATCCGAATTTGGCATCCTACCGCACAACACGACATGTTTACTATTGCCAGCGGTCTCTTTTTGCAACCGGGAACCCCTGTGATGTCATGTGTGACGTAGGTTGGTAATTCGTCTATACATCCATGTTGAGTGCACGCATATGGTCCGGACCGGCACAACCTATGTGCGGTCGCTTATCCGCACACCTCTCAAAAAAATTTAAACTACACGTCGCACAGGCTTTGTAATTGGTCAGTTTGACAGCAGTAACGGCCTGGATTAATTTGTTGTTCAATGTTGAAGTTTAATAAATAGTTTAATAAATAATCATAGACAGTAGATAGTGTGTGTTTCTATCAATTGTTTTAAAATCAAGTAATGCAACCTTCCTTAAAAAATCTCTCACTGGTAATATGTGAACTTATTTACTGTACAAAACCTGTCAGTGAACTATGAAGGCAAAAAAATAAAATAAAATAATTGTTCATTATTTATAATTAATACGAGTTAAAAGTATAATGTTTAGTTAAAGTATAATAAAAAGTACAATATAGAGTTAAAATGTTCAAGTAATCGAGATTTTGATAGGCCAAATCGCCCAGCCCTACAACCCAGCCTGTATTATTATACTCAACACATACATCCTCTCACTTTTTGACTCTTTTTCTCCTTTATGTCTGCAGTTGAGGTATCAGAAGTGTCTGGTGGCGCGTCCTCCATCTCAGAAAGCCTGCTCACAGGCGGCCCCTGCTGATTCAGTCACCCGCCGCGTCTCCACCAGCGTCAAACGTGGAGTTCTGTCTCTCATCGACACGCTCAAACAGAAGAGACCCGTCACTGAGCTGCCTCAGTGATCTGACACGCACACTCACCGTCACGCTCTGCATGCTTATAACTATCCGAATGTCCTGTACATACCTGTCCGGTCACATGGTGGAGATGAAGAGGATCACAAGGATGAAAAATCAGAAAATAAAGCTGATGCCAAGAAAATACACCCTTTACTCACACACTCACAAGTACATCAGATCTACTATACAAGCCTCTCTCTCTTCCGATGTCAATCATGCATATATTTGCATGGGAAGCCACGCCTCTCCAGCATGACAGCAATCAACAGGCTCTGCCCACCTAGAAGAACCGCCTCATCTAGAATAAGCCTGATCAAAGAGAGAACTTGATTGGAAGAATGTTTGTGCATATGAGAACAAATACGGCTGCTTGTTCATTTCATCGAGTTCATCATCGCTGCATGATCATATGTAAGTGTGGATGTATAGAAGAGCTGAAGGATTCTACTGTCCTAAAGTGTCCTAAAAAGCAAGGTTTTATTTTTTGTTTCCCTCTTTATTATCCTGCCGAACACAAAAGCAGATTCGATGGATAGGAGATGGGGATTTCATAAAACTCAAAACTTGGTTGCGTTGCGTTCGATTCAAAGTAGGATATTCCTGTTTGATACCTTTTGAATGTTTAATGCTCAGTGTATGGTATGTAAGGTGCGGTCACATTAGCAATATTTTGGCTGGATTTGGTTGGCACTAAGGTCTACTGTCATTAGTGTAGTGATGTAGAAAGCATTTATAACAATACTAGCCATTACTAGGTGTTCAGGGAGCATCTGGACTTTTGAAAGAACACATTGGTGGGGGTTTATTTTAGGTGCAAAAAGACGATTTGAAACATTATAATTGCTTGCAACAGAATGCATTATTGCATACATAAATGAAAATACACCTCTATATACATTTCTGGAGATCGCAAAATATGTCCCAGCGGGTACGATTTTTTGCAGTTTTTGTTTTCTCTAATCCACGAGAAGCTGCTTCGAACGCTTTTTGCGATCTCGGATCTTTCTCGCGAGTGCCATTCACTGCAGTTCTTGCGTAAGCTCACTAGAGGACCCTCATCTGATTTTTACCACTGGACTCGAACCCTGTCGTCGTGGTCAACTCCTCTCTGCGTCTCAAGTCCGCCAACGTACATGGCAAGCTAACGGCACAAACTTGTTACAGTGGGAAAGCTGTCCATAGGAAGGAATGTAGTCAGCTGGTAAGTGCGAAAAGGAATGGCGTCATACCGCCATATTTAAAAAATGAAATGCAGCCATATGTACCTCCGGCTACATATATCGCAGTCTTCAGAAACGTGTATAGGGCTACAATTTCAGAATGAGCCTATGTTGTTTGTTTGTCACTTGGCTTTTTTCCATTGTGTGCGATTTCTGTCCAAAAGCGTCAAAAAAAGTTTGTGCTTTAAAATCGAGTTGCGGTATGTTTTGATCCGCTTACACATGCAACAATGGCGTATATTGTTTGTACCAACTAGTTTGTTGTTCATCTTCCATCTCTTTTGTTTTTTCATTTGCGAAACACTGGACAGGTTCAGTGTTGACACCTTGTGGGCAAATTAAATAGTGCAAAAACAGTTGAACAGAACACATTTTCAAAGCATCGGTGAGATAAAGCGAAGGCCTCAAGGTGCAACTTTTTCAAGGTTGAGCTTTTCTTAATGAGTGCCACATTTTTGTAACATCCACTGTCCTATTGCCTTATAACAAGAGTGTCACATGTCAAAAGAATGAATGAGAGACATGCGTTTATTACAGTCTACATGCATCCATTGTAGACAGAATAACTGATTAAACTTGCCCCACTCAGGTTTCGCTCCAGTTTTTACTAATGTTATTAGATGAGCTAGTGAACCTTTTCCATATATAGCTGGGTTTCCACTCTAATGTATAGTAAATCTTTTCAAAGTTCACTAAAAATAAAAATAAATCAAATCCCAAATGTGAATTAGGTGCATTTCCGTCAAGTTGTTTGAGCGGCCGACTGTAGTACTGGTAACCTCGTAACCAACAGTAAACAAGGCAAACATAATGGAGTCATGTGAATTTAATATTCACTACGTAAGAATTTATTTGGCAAATGTTTCCATCTCCCGTTTTTCACGTTAACCCTGTTTCACACAAGTCCCAGACCACCTAAAGTGAGTGTGAAAATGTTTTTAGAAAAAAAATATGAGATTTATTTGAAATTTGGCTTTGCGATGCTCCTTTCTCATGTGACACTTCAAAATGCACATTAACACACAGTGATGGAAACCCAGCTTTTCGTGTTCAATGGCTTCAGTGTTTCAGTCAATTTTCTGTAGCATAGCATAGCTGCTAAATGTCTCATAAACAGATTGTATAGCATCTAGAATTGATGCTAATTATATTTCACCCTCAAGGAAAGTTTTAGATGCCTGGAATAGGCAATTACAGTAAGTCTTGGCTGTAAAAATTCGCTGAACAACAGTATATGTGACCGCACCTTCAGGCAACAACAACAAAAAACACCATAACGCAACCAAGTTTCTAGCAAACTGCAGAGAATAAATGCCACTACATAATGAACTAGTTAGAAGGTGAAGTGATGTTCCTTTACACTTTTCCAAGAAGAAAGATAAAATGTTGCATTTTATCATCAAAAGTCATCGATGCTCTCACCAAACCATATATTTTCTTCATGAATATCTTCAACATCAGTTAATGAGGAGGCTTGGTAAAAAATATCACCAACAACAACACACATGGAAGGACGTGAGCTGTAGATGTAAAGTATGAATGTGCTTTTTATATTTCCAAAGTGAAATTGCCTTTCGTTTCTTTGAAAGAGAGAATGTCTCAGAGGAGAACAGACGTCGAAAACACAAGAGGCGGAAATAACTTTGCTTAGAGCCAAACAGTTCAATGGTGTCAATTCTGCTTCGAACCCCAGTGTAGTGCTTAGCTCCTTCAGAGCTTCTTCGGTGACTCAAAGTCCAAAAATAGCTGACTAATAGGAACTAATCTGCTAGTGAAAGAAACTCGGATGTCTGTGAAGAGCTATTTTTGAGTTTCAGTATCTACTCCTCACGTTTGGATGCCATTAGTGGCTCTACATCTCCTGGTTGCGCTTCACAAACGTTCCACGCGCCACCTTGGTCTTGCTGTACTCTGGCGTGCCACTTGTAGTCCTAGACTTGCCCTTTTTTCCACAAGGGTTTCGACGAGTCACTTTTGTGTGTACATAAAGTATCTATATATAGCAATTGTCATATCATAAGGCTTTATTTTTCAAATGTCAGATTCTCTTATTTTGTCACGATTTATTTTTCTGTCATGTTATTTTGGTCATACTTGCCTTGGCATGTCTTGTGATCCCGTTTATTCTGCCCACATTGTAAAAACAAAAGAAAACGAAATCATGTACGTGTTGTAGATAAATCAATTGACAACAAAACAAAAAAAACTGAAGAAGGCCGAATGATGGTAGAGATTGTGAATATGAATTTATTTTATGGTCTTTTATAGGAGAGCTAGCTCTAGGGGAGAAGATGTGAACTGTACGTGTCTATCTATGCATTCTTTTAGCTCTAGAAAGATTCGAAAGAGAGAGAGAAAAAAGACACATTGCCTTGCATGTCCTGGGACAATTTAAGAAGACAAACTGTACTGAACAGAAATGATATTTTTTATTTTATTTATTCTATTTTATATCGGTATATACTGGTTTCATTGTGATGTATCATATGCTTAGACATTCTTTACCCTGTTTCAGACAATAAAGCAAGCTACAAATGTCAATCCAAAAACACACTGTACAGTAACAGAGCTGCTGATGCACAGCGCTGCCTGCCATGGTTACGTTACAGTCGAAAGGCCTTTAGGACCTTTACATTCTGCCCAAACAAATATTAGATACAATATAGAATACATATACAATATAGAATATGCTATCAATTGATTATTGGGATATTTCAGACACAAGTGTTACAGGTTAAGCCTGAGATTAATGGATTATTTACACAATAGCCTTGTTTACACCTTGATGTATTTTTTTTTTGTCAATCTGACCACAAGTGGATGATGTTGAATACAAGTGTAAATGGGGTGTCAAATATTTTGGGAAATCTTTTAGAGGTAGTTGGAAATGCATTTGATCCATTTGCTTGATGCTTACCTTATTTAAAGAAATCATTCCCCAAAATAATGAATATTTCAAGTGGTTCCAAGCCTTTATGGGTTTCTTTATTCTGTTGAACTCACACACATCTATTTGGGGGCTTCCCATTGATGTAATGATTTTATACTGTACACACTGTATATTCTCTCCCTCTAGCCATAAACACAAACCTCACAGAAAACAATCTGCATTTTCACATTTTCAATATACTTCATTTTGTCTGATTTATGAGGACCAAAATTATAAAGTTCAAAATTTACTGGTATTGCTATATTTGTGGGGACATTTGGTCCAGACAATGTTAGGAATAAAAGGTACACACACAAACACACACACACACACACACATGTTTTGAAGGATGAAAATCAGTAAACTTGACATCTATAGTATACTGCAAAAAAAAAAAAAAAAAGTTGACAACCTAAAATTTTAAGGCAACCAGCTTCAGAAAACTTTAATCGAGTCAAGTGCAGTACTCGGGTTGAAAGTTAAAACAAAAAAGCTCTGTAGCAAGTTGCCTTCAATTTTGCCTACAATTTTAAGTTTAGTCAAAAAATTTTTACAGTGTAGGATAAAGTAATACTATGGAAGTCCATTAAAAGCGATTTTCATGTTTCTTCCAAATATCTTCTTTTGTGTTTAGCAGAAGAAAGAAACTCAAACAGGTTTGGAACAAGTAATAGGTGAGAAGATTTTCACTTTTGAGTGAACCATTTTTGGACTATGTTGTGAGAAAGTGCATCAAGACAAGGTATTCAACCAAAAGTAGATTACGATTGAAATCTTAGTCGCTATTCACATTCCTTTTGTCATTTGCTCATAAGTCTTTGAAATTTGTTTATCAAATAGAGTACTGCTTTGAAAGTTATGCAGTGAAAATAGATAAAGTTCTTGCAGGAACATTGTTTATAGCTTTGATTTGATGCATTTCAAAAATGGGTTGCCAGAGACTGAAATGTGTCCTTTTAGGAGGGCATTTACATGACACATTTTTTCAACTAAAATAGAACGTTCTATGCATTTTGGCTGTTTGTTTAGATGACAACAGTATTTTGGTAGTCTGAAACTGAAAATCACAGCAGTATAGTATCCATGGAAATTATTAGAACAACGTTTTAGTGAAAACTGTGCATTGTGTGCATGCATACTTCATGTAAAAGAGATATTGCTAACTACTGGCCTGGTATGCACAATAAAGCACTATAGACATTTTCACAGGTCCAAAATTAGATCTGTATTAAAAAAAGTAACTTTTTTACATCACTGTAATGTAAACATAACCTAATAATGCATGTTTACATTCACAAAACTATTAAAAAGCTGTGCAAATATTTTGGAAGCAGTGAAAGCTCTTATAGTAACAAAATGGGGGCTAGTATCTTTTTAATAATTGATATATTGTATTACACACGTATCTTATGTAATAAATGGAATATGATATATATTATATTGTATTTAATATATGTATATATATATTACACAACAAATCACTCTCATAATCTAATTCATCAATGACCAAAATGAAATATTTGTTTGGGCAGCATGTAGATGTTCAGCTAGCTCTATTACAACCATTACTCCTTTATCTTGACTGCACACGAGCCATCAAATTCCGTTTTTACCTTGAGGATAATCAGAGTATGAAATGAGATGGCAAAATGTGTAAAACTCAATCTGCCTGTGTACTGCACTCCTTTAGTCTCTCCCACTTCTTCACTTTTGTGGACTGTTTTTTTTTTTTTATTTGACTCTGATGATGATGGGTCTTTACAACTCAGCATTTCCCTTTAGATCACATTTTAGAGTAGTGTGAAAGGGGTGAATAAGAATAAGAATCTTACTTTCTATTCAGAAACAAATTCAGTGGCAACTGACAAAGTCAGCTGTTGTAAGAGGGAGGAGGCTTATGGGTAATGTAGTCCAGTACAATATCTCAGCATAGAATCGTCATTCTCATGTTAGCAAGAGTAGTGTGTTCGAGTGACTTTAGTGTTCTTGCATGGTGAAACACTCTGATCGATGACTATCAGGGCAAAGCTCATCACAAGGATTAACAAAGCTAAGAATTAACACTCTACTGGTCAAATACACACTCAAACACACCGTTTTGTGGCTTTCTCTGCTCTACACTAATTTGTACACCATATAAATGTAAACTGTTGTGAAAATAAATGGCATATCACAAAATACTTCAAAGTGTTTAAGGCTTGTAATTGATTTCGTATACACAATCTGTTGTTTGAAGAACTGTCCTAATGATATTCTAAGACATGATTCATTTATTAAAGCCCTGTTATCCCACTGAATATTAATTATTTCACTGTTATCATTTTCTGGTAATTCTTAGAAAAAAAGTCAGCTGCATTTATTTATTATTGTTTCTTTTATCCTGTGCCTAAATACAGTTAAAGTTAGGATTTTTAGTCCCTAATTTTTTTTTTCTTTTTTAAATATTTCCACAGTATTCACAGTATGTCCGATAATATTTTTTCTTCTGGAGAAAGTCTTATTTGTTTTATTTCGGCTAAAATAAAAGCAGTTTTGATTTTTTTTAAACACCATTTTAAGGTAAAAATGATTAGCCCCTTTAAGCTATAATTTTTTTTGATAGTCTTAAGAACAAACCTTCGTTGTACAATAACTTGCCTAATTACCCTAACCTGCCTAGTTATCATGGCAAAGATCAAATAAATCAGTCATTAGAGATGAGTTATTAAAACTATTATGTTTAGAAATGTGCTAAAAAAAATCTTCGTTAAATAGAAATTTGGGAAAAAATAAACAGGAGGGCTAATAATTCAGGGGGTTTCATAATTCTGACTTCAACTGTTAACACGCAGGACTATAAACTCAAAATTCACTTTAAACCTGGCTATTCTGGCTTTATTTTCCTTTTTTTTTTCAAAGTTTTCAAATTCTGACTTTTATTTTATTTATAATTCTGAAGAAAGGGAGGAATTTCAAAGTGTTAACTTACAATTGTGAAATAAAAATGTTTAAAAATGAGTTTCAAGAGTTGACACTTAGCTGTAGATTGATTAAAAAGCTTGATTGGCATACTGGAGAGCCCTGAGCTCATAAGGTCCTTGAGCCCTTGGCTTACTCCCATTTGCAGGGTGAGAAGGCTGTTTGAGCTCAGGTAGGTCTCGAGAACTCCCCAGCTTATTTATAGCTAATGAAAAATTAGGCATTGCTAAGAAGATATAATCTGCTCACCAGGAGCACATCTATGGTGGCAATTTGGTTTGGTCAAGTCACCTATATTGTATGACGCCTTTGGACTGTGGGAAGAAACCAGAGATCCTGGGGGAAACCCACGCGAGCACTGGGAGACCATGTAAACTCTGCACAGAAACGCCAACTGGCCTGGTGAGGACTTGAACAGGTGACATTCTTATGACACTCTATCAAGGAAAAGGGAGGAGGAGTAGGGGTGGAAGAGGCGATTCTTCAAAATAAGATAACTGAGGTAAAACGTTGAAAAACCTGGTGTGTTATATTTATCTAGGTAAAACATGTGTTAGCTAATGCGGGACCAGCCGTGGTCAATCATAAGCATACGATTCTCTCAAAATTACAAATAAACTCCACAGAAAATCAAAATAACCTGCTTTTGTTTTTAATTTGATGACTTAAAGGGAGAGTTCACACTACTAAACATTCTGTCATCATTTACGCATCATTAATATGTCACAAACCTTCAAGTTTCTTCAGTTGAAGACAAAATAAGCTATTTTGAAAAATGTTGGAAACCTGTAACCATAGTATTTGTTTTACTTACTATGGAAAGAAATGTTTGGTCTCTAACATTTTTCAAAAAAGCTTATTTTGTGTTCAACAGAAAAAGGAAACATGTAAAGGTCTGAAACTTTGTACATAGTGAGTAAATTGGAATTTTGGGGTGAACTATCCCTTTTTAGAAGCATACACAAACTATCTCATTTGTATATTTTTGTGTGCTCATCAGATGTTTTAGGGTTGAAGTGTTATGCGTTGCATTCCTCTATAAATAATATGAATAAAACACATACCAACCAAATGGCTAACTTTTAAAATAATTAGGTTTTCCTAAGCTGGAAAAGATGTTTCATGAGTTCCCACTGATATTCTTAGCGTTTATACCAGGTTTGGCATGCTGTCCCTGGAGAAAACCCTGAGCTCGGAGATACTTGAGCCCAAGGCTCCCGCCTGGTCAATAAGCATATAAGGGTATCCAAGATCAAGTAGGTCTCGAAAGTCCCCCCTTAGAAAAGGGAGGAAAAGGAGATAGGGTGGAAGTGTGGGGGGGTGGGGTTTCCAAAACAAAGATAGGGCAAAATGGAGAAAATGATCCATTTATGGTAAGCTTGGATCACTCTGATTGGATTATTACTGATTACAGATGAGAAGCCAGTCGTGGTCAATTATATCACATGCTCCTCTCGAAATTAGTATGTAAAACTCACACTGCGTAAATCACAAAAAGTCTTATTATAACAAATATTTTCACCCATATTGTGACGGAGAGAAACAGATTATTAAGAGAAACAGATTGTTATATTGTATTCTGAGATTTAACCCCCAGGGGTCTGAGGTGATTTTGGGGCTCCTGAGATGTTTTGACTTGCCCTGACATTTATGCTTATTTCAGCTACTTATTACATAGTACTGGCCAACATGTATATTTTTTTTATTCAGCACAAACTTTGCTACATTAATATGTGACAAATATTGATCTACATGATTGCATTCTTTTGAAAAAATAAAAAAATTATGCGTGGTTAGTAAGTTTTGGAGAAAAAAAAGTAGCTGAAATAAGGTCCAAAAAACACACTGAATGTGCCTGAACAAGACTTTTGAGTCTTGTAGGTTAGAATATTTACACCCCAGTTATATGAAAATCATTATGTTCTCTCATTCAAAGAAAACGTTACAATGAATTACAATTTGTTAAGTTTTATTTGGGTGATCTCAGCTCTATGTGTGAGTGACAATGGTCATGAATAATTTACAGTGATCAATCAGAAAATAAACCATACATGTGTTTTATATATTCCTTATGTCATAATGTTTTCATATATATTTAAAGCCCAATTAGAACCTTCCTTATTTGGATGCAAATCACAAACAAATGTAATTATGAAACAGCATGTATGATACAAAAATGGTTACAGTATTGTCACCATACTACACGTCACCAATAAATAATAAATCCTTTTTACTCAGTGCCTTTCCTTCAATGCATTATATTTTTTCAGATAGTTTGTCAGATTACTTTCTACAAACCTTCTTTAGTAGAAGCACAAGGGATGTAGCTCAGTGCCACGTCTGTGACTGTAAAATGATGGAGTCTCTGGCTTTAGTGATGCTGCTGGAAGAGGAAGGACTGCTGGAGAAATGAGACGAGTTGGAGGAGTTCAGCCGATAAGGGGATGAAGAACTGAGCGGATAAACAGGAGGCAAACGGAGCTCTCTCGAGAGGCTTTCCTTAGCCTCTGATTTGATGATTTCCTGTCTTGGTTTAACAGATTCCTTTTGAGACGCGGATCTGCTCTGCAAATGTCTGGATCTGTGTGGTGGTACTGGGGTTCGAATGGCGGTGGGTTTGGTCTGAGGTGGAGTTGGAGTAATGGAGTTAACGGTCATGTGTTGTGATGGCCGAAGATTCAGGAGTTTCTTACGTGAAAGTCGAGTTTTGCTCTGTTCTTTATGGGTTGCTTTTTTTCTTCTGGACGGCTTAGATTTAACTTTCACCGATGGCTTATAAGATTTTGATCGCTTCTTTTGCACAGCTGAAGACTGATTTTGATCATCGTTTGACTGGTCGGGTATGTTGGAATGATTTGTAGTGCTAAGTGTGACATCCATGATTGATGTTTGGCTTTTAGTGATGGAAGCGTGGTCTAGGATTGTAAAACTCTCAGTCGGGGTTGTGGAAGTGGGATTTGTAGCTGGATTGATGGGATCTGGAAGATTCAGATTGATCATCATTGATGCTGGAGCGTCAGTCGTTGAGAATAGTGGAAGAACCGCTGTAGATTCTTTTCGTTTCTTTCTCTTTTTGGGTTTGTCTCTATCTAGGGGGTCTGGAGGCATCAGGCCTCCCAGCAAACCTTTAGCCGCGGCTCGTGCCAAAATATTCTCCACAGTTTCAACTTCTGCTGGGTCCTGCTGTTTGAGAGATAAAACTTTAGGTCTCAGGTGAAAAAAAAATTAAATAACTGCCCTTTTAACAAAACTAAAGGGGCAGATATTCATTTTTTTTAATAAGAAATGCACATTTTAAACTCAGAACACAAAAATCGTATATCAAATCAATCCTACAATATATTCTCATCAGTAAACAACAGAAAACAACGAGGAGTTTCAATATTAATAAATAACATTGTCCCAACAACTGTTAATACATCTGTTACAGATCCAAATGGACAATTTTCCATCATCAAAGTTTCTATTAATCATATCACATACACACAAGCTAATATGTATGGCCCAAATAACGATGACCCCTCCATTTTTCATAACTTTTCATTATTACCCAATACAAATAATGTCATTATTGCTGGAGATTTTATAATTGTCCTTGACCGACAAATAGACCCATCAAATTGAACTAATTATTCCAAAAACTACCATTTAACAAAAACCATTAAACAATATATGACTTATCTGGGACTTGGTGATATTTATAGAATAAATGATCCCTCCCTGAGAAAATATACATATTATCCCCCTGTCCATCAGTCCCACTCCTGAATAGACTTCCTCATTTATTTTGGTGCATCCCTAAATTCAATTATGGAAACTGTAGCTTGTGAGGCAGATTTAAATATTTTTTTTTTTGTATGACTGTCATGTTAAAGAGATATACCAATATTTAAAATGTTGTTATTTATTATTCGCCTGCATGTTGTTTAAAACTATATTAAACTTCTGAGAATGGACTTGAGTGTCCAGAGGTAGTAAAAACATCACTGAGGTAGCAAATGTCACTTTAGTGATTCCACCTTATTAATAAAGTTGACAGGGATGTTATTTTTAAAAAATGCTCCTTTGCTTCCAGATCGATTTCCAGATAGGCATAAGATTAAAAAAACTTGTACTTTGAAAGTTTGTTTGACTTGCATATCATAACATTCATTCATTCATTCATTCATTTTCTTGTCGGCTTAGTCCCTTTATTAATCCAGGGTCACCACAGCAGAATGAA